AGAGGATCATTACGATCGCCTTTTACCGATTCGTCTTTCACGCAGTCGTTGACGAGGTTGTCATATATACCATCAAAAGTATGAACGGAAAGCTCATTGTTGCCTTCCGTTCCTTAGCCATTCACGTTATATCACAGTAACTAAGGTCTACTAGCAATGCGATAACACCGCCTTCGGGCAAAACATTTCGCTGGAACATGTTTAAAAGCGTTTTGATCTAGTGAGTGTAACAACTTTCTCCATGAACTTTTTGAAGCCCATTTTGAACAGTCGTTTGGAATTTCTCTTTGCCTGAGCCGGCTGCACCCTTATACGATAAGTGTAGCGCGAAAAAGGTCTTCAAGTCACATTTCCAGTGGTCCTAGAATGTGGAGGAGGGTCGTAGATAGTAAATATGGGGCGTAACAACATTTTGCAAGCGATTAGGACACGTTTCATGAAAAAAAAAACAGAAAGAGCACAAGCATTGAGGACCCAAGACCCATGCTACTCCTTCAGGTGCGCCGTCAAATAACTGCACCATTGCATTGGGAGCCTACTCGGTCCAGCGCATCGATCTACATTCATAGCAACTGCGCCTCCGTCGCACACAGAACGTACTATCCTGTTCGTTAATATGTTCAAACCAGTGGTATAACACAGGGAGGGAATGGTCTCTTAACTTTGTTCCTCAATTTGTTCTTCGTTTCGCAGATTTGGAATGCAGATTAGGGATCATCGTTCAAAAACACCTTCGGCCTATACATCTCATATTTAATGGTCTCATATTTAGGTATCCTTCCCTTGTAAGTAATTGTGTACGTTTTGAGATAATGTAGCTATTTTTTCACAAAAAACAGATACTTATGTGTTTATATATCCAACATACCTACTTATGCGCCTAATTCATGAATGTAAACCACTTTAAAAAACTTGTTTGCATATTGAAGTATAAGGTAAATGTAAGTATGTATGTAAGAATACGCAGTTACTGACGAAGAAGGATTTTCTAGTCGAAGCGGCCAAACTTGTATTGCTAGACGTATTCCTGCTCATTCTAAATCCAAATTTGCCAGGCGATTTTCTGAACCAAGTTATGAAGGTGGTTACAGGTGACAGGTGAGTGCCTAGCATAAACACTAACTCGAAGTATGGGCTGTAACTGCGCTCACATGGTGTCTTGGATCTGTGGGTACGTGTGACGCTCCATAAGGGTGAGACCATGGATCAATTTTGTGAGACCGAGTTTTTTCGCATTTTGCAGGGCTTTTTCCTGAAGGAGAAGACACCTTATGCTGATTCAACCACCTTAATTTTCCTGTTTGATGCTTGAGTTAATTCGCTTCCTAGCCGTATTATCCAATATTGTCATGAATTCTTTGCTTTTCTCAGCATCCATCTGCATTCACAGTACGATAGCTTTCATTACTTCATAAGCAGAGCTAATAATTTAACGCACAACATTCAAAACAAAAAAGTTTTCAACAATGGGATCAACGAATGAAAAACGTTCGCCGTAGGTTTTTTCTTCTCAATCGTTACAGGACCGAACGGAGGAATAAAATTTATAGGCGTCTTCAAATCACCTGGAAAGTGCCCAAGATTCAACACGTTGGAGCGAGAGGGAAGTCTTCTGAACTAGGAGTATGGAGTTAAAGTTATAGTGAGAATAGAGAGTAGAGTCGCTAGTGTGCACGCAGGAGTTGAGAAAACGAGCTACTACGAATATGATGATATTTTTGGCCATACTACTAAACAAAGAGACTAGTTGAAAGTTACATGGCTGTCTTGGACTCATGGCACTATGTGGGAGATTTTCAACATCGGTTGCTTCTATGAAGGCTGTGTAGACCTGATAGCTACATGATCTCTGAGAAATGCGTAGGAGTCCTCACCAGCAATAATGATGTTGGTGAGTGCCACCCTGATTTAAATTGCTTGATGAGTATGTTTTACTCACTCGTACCTCCGGATTTCATGCATGAAAGGATTCCTACTTTGGAACCACGCCCGTACTTTCTTATGAATTTCAGAGTTACAAACGTACGATATTGAAGCATATTTTGCAAAAGGTCTGGGTCAATACAAACAGCTTCTGACATAACAATAAATGGCCATCGACGAAAAGGCAAGCCGTAAGAGTTGAAGAATGGATGTCAGCAGAGACTGATGCACATGCCTTCCTACTCTCGCCGAGCCCCTCTTGGCAGAAATGCAGTGTATTCATTCCCTTCAAAGATCCCACAGAGGAATTGGTGTGTGTTTGCGTGCATGTGTGGATAAGCGCTGAGTCATGGCGATAATGCATTGTTTGGATAGAAACCCAGTTACCCCAGGAATCACTAAGGTTGCTGAATGTGGTATAATCATCACACAAAAATTATATGGCCCTCGGCGCCCGCAAAGGGCAAAAAAGTCGTCGCTTACAGAATCTGATCCATCGTTCCATGCATATAAGACATCACCCTTATCAGTGCTCCAAGTCATCTCTGTTAGAGCAGTTACGTCCATGTCTTAAGTGTTTGTTTACGTTGAACATTCATCTGAAACCACCTTCGTACCGTGGTTCAGAATGCAAATAGCAAATTTGGAATGCAGGATCGGAATAAGCACTCGGAAACACGTCTAGCAATATAAGTCTCATTCGAAAACTCTTCGACATGAAGCTCTTTCTTTATTCTTGCCAATCTAAACCAATGGGAAACTACGACATTGGTTGCAACATGTACGGAATAAACGGCTGCTTTCACGAACTGCGTGTGAAACCTGTTGTTTCTAATGTTTTCATGTGAACTGTCTATTTCATAGATGCCCTTGGACATTGAAACGGTGTCAGGCTCCGATAACAAGGTGTTCCTCGGTCATATACACTTTTAGCAAAGCCGCAATGGGGTTTTCTACTGAGCTCATTCTAAAATAAAGGTCCTATATCGCGAAGTTCCCTTACAAGTAATGACAGCACTCCTGGAAGGGTCGTCGTATTTTGAAATATTAGTTTTCTTGCTGTAATTTCGGTCTTTGTTGTGACCACAGGAACGCGTCCTAGGCTTATCAAATCGCGTGATTCCTTGATTTTTAGCTGGCTAAATTCTTAAATTCGTACCCACTCATCTCACAAACACTCAAATGTTTTTGAATCGTCTTGGCGTACTTCACTTCAGCGGTTTGTACGTCATGAAACACTCTGATGTAAAAGTCCTCCATACAAATCCCAACAGAAGATCTGTTATGAAAGCCGTAGTGGAGCTCCTCAGCTAGCGCGAGAAGGATAACAGTATGCGAGTACTGCCTATCCACCAAGTTTGCCTCAGTTGTAACATTTTAAATTGGTGGGGAGATATTTTGCCTAGACTAGGGACTTGACTATGGAGCAACGATTTGTCCTTGTTTCAGCCAAAAATTTTAAGGTTAAGACAGGAGCACCTGTGCTACTTGCCCTTGCTTTATGCAGGTATACGATGATTGCTTTATGGTCTGTGACAGGAAGAAATAGATGTCAACCGTTGACGTGTGTTTTAGCCTGCTCAACTCACAATCAAGGCTTATCAAGTTAACACTGGGAAGGCCGATCGTGAATTGCTCCCCCATGTGAACGTTAAAGTGAGGCTACTGGGCGATATGACAACTACGAAGTCGCGCGGAAGACTCAGCCATAAGAATGTTATTGTCCACTATCACTGACCTCATCCCTTTTACACAAGAGAACTGTTTTAGAGAAGATGATCCGCACAGTTGTGAAGGTCTGCTCTGGAGGTAGTGATTATCATTTGTACTGAGAGCTGATCTCCCTGATCCTGGAAGACCGATCGAGCAGGCCTGAAGCAGCACTGAGCAGGTCATACTACAATGTGCTAGGGAAACACTGAGAAGACTCGAGGTGGATTCCTAGTAGACAAGTAAGCATGGTTCTGGAACGATGTCAAGTCGTGAGGCCGAAGAAAGCGGCCTACAAGCAGTGGCAGAAAACGCAAGCTCCAAAAGACCTAGCTGCCTACAAAACTTCCAATAGGCTCGCCAAGGCTGGCTGCTGTAGCTGAAGTTAAAAATGCGGAAATGGACGCCTTGTACGCGATACTCGATAGCCTGAAAGGAGAAAACTTTGTGTTTTGGCGAAAGAGCGGCACTGAACTTCTCAAAACATCGAGGTTATGAAGGTTGTTAAGAACACGGAGCGTAACCTGCGGAAGCCTGGTGAGATCAGGCGTGTGTGGAAAGAATACTTCGACAGCTTCCTAGACGAAGAATACCACCGTGAGAACAGCCCACATACAGAAATCATGGTTGGTCCCGTCGTACAATGGACAGAGGATGAGGTGCGGGAAAATACGGCATTTGGGAAAATGAGGGCTGGAAAAGCAACTGCTTCGGATGGGGTCTCCATCAAGACGTGCGAGACGTGGAGGGCGCTTGAAGATCACGGGAATAGGTGGCTCACCTAATTCCTGAACACTGTGCCCACTGAAGGAAGAATCTCAGATGCTTGAAGGTGCAGCACCGTCTATCCCATATTGAAACAGAAGGGGGATGCGATGGACTGTTAAAATTACAACGGTATCAAGCTGACTTCTCACACAATGAAACTGTACGAGCGGTTGGTCGACTCAAGATTGAGGAAACCCGTCCAAAACGGAAGAAGATGGGCTTCTTGCTAGAATAGTCTACAACGGATGCTATCTTCGTAGTCAAACGCATACTGGAGAAGTAACGAGAAAAGCGTGAGCCCTGCTGAATAGCCTTCCTCTGAAGAAAGCTTTCGACCGTCTCCAGCGTCAGATCCTCTCGAAAGCGCTCCGAGGGTAAAACGATTTAGAGCACCTGATCTCTCTAATCAAAGATATGTACGATGGATCTACGACAGCAATACACGCTCTACACGGCCTGACCAAGGCAATAGACGTCACGGTTGGGGTGCACCAGAGATCATTTTGAAGCTTGTTCTTCTTCCTCTCACACTGTATATCATCACAAAAGAACTCTTGGATGGACCACTGAAGACCATCATCTACACTTATGGCATCGCTCTAATAGCGGAGAGCAGAGAAGCTTCCCATGATAATCTGCAGAATGAAAGAAACCGCTGGCGGCTGCTGCTGAACGTCAAGAAGACCAACTTCCTCAGCTCCGAATAGTGCACGGAGCCAATCGTAGACGCTTTCGCATCGAAAGAGTACAGGACTTACGATACCTGGGGAGTGATCTAGTCGCTGATGGTAGGGTGGACCAGGCTGTAAGATCCCGAACAAAAGAGGCATGGTTGAAGTGAAGAGAGTCTACTGATATCCTCTGCAACTGTTGGTGCTCCAGGACGCTCAAAGGTAAGGTGTACAGGACAGTTTTGAAGCTCGCGATGATCTAAGGCAGCGAGTGCCGGCCCGTAAGTAAGAATCATGAAAGACAGCTCCACTCCTCGAGATGAGGATGCTCAGATTGGCCTGCGAAGACGCGACTGGACCAGATCAGAAAGGAAGGCGTCAGGACGGTCATACAAGCAGCCCCTGTACAGTTAAAGATCAGAGAACGGCGTCTGCGATGGTACCGAAACGAAGTAAAATAGCGCAGAATGATCCAATAGGGGAGGCAATGGAGTTCAACGCTTGAGGAAAGCTACCACGAGGAGTTCAAAGAAGAGGTGACGGACGTGATCAGTGAGGACCTCTTCGAAACTAAAGTTAAGGTGGAAGGTGCTGTAGATAAATGAAAGTGGAGACGGCTGACGAAAATAGCGAACCCTGCATCAGCGCAGGATTAACGCTAGGATAAAGAAGGGAAGAAGAAGAGAACTATTTGTCTCTGCTGATGTCAGTGCCATCATCAGAAAAGGCCTAAAGAGGTTGGGTTTGAGAGAATCAGGGCTGTTGTAAACGTGCCACCCTTTCATATCAAGAAGAGTATAACTCGAAACAGGCCACGCAATCGTCCATGTACAAGGACCATCTATGTTGTATGTCTATCTGTTAAGGAGGGTTAGCGTGCCATGCCTGGATCGGTCTACAACACCACTGACTATGATTGATGATGACTTTAGTGGCGGAACGGTGATATCTTTTGATGTGGGAATAAGGGAGCGTATGGATGATATGAATCAACTGAAAGATTTTACGGAATCACGAGATCATCGAATAAGAAACTGAAAGATACTACGGAATTAAGAGATCATCAAATAAAAAAAGAAGAAACGGAGGCGATTCAAAGCGATGATTTACCCACGCACAGCTACATGTTACTACTGTGCCACGACCGTAGAGGTCGTTGCACAAGAGTCAAAGTTGTGCGCACGTCCTCGAGACATTTTATACACCGGTCACCAATACATAAATGAACCGAAGGAGAGAACGTCTTGCAATCACGCCGGCACAGCCCTATATGAGGTGGGTGTTTCCGCAGTGACTTTGAATGAAAGGCTACTCCTAGCTGATACTGGTCTGTTGCATCATAAAGCTAAGGTGAGTAGTCCTCCTTTGAATCATGTGCGTGATCTGGAGGTCTCGAACCACAGCGGGCACTGGACAGATACACATTGTTACTATCCTTTCAGGCTACGATGAAGGCGGTTCCTCCGAAAGCCAGCCTAATAAGGTCTATGTTGAAGCATCGCGACGATTTTCAGAAAACAACTCAATGATAAAATTCACTGCAGAATTCCTCCTATCCTTATGTCGTTGGTTGTCGGGTTTCAGCAGGCCGTGAAATTCACGATGATGATGTGGCAAATGATGCACACTATCATATTACGCATGGTCCGGTGATCAAATTCCGATTGACACCCGTGCAGGGCAATCAACCTTTCCACCGCTCCGTGGTCATCACTCGGTACCAGGTTCTCCCGAAGAGAAAAGCGCTGACTTGAACATTGCTGGTCGTTACAAATAGTTGTATAGGTCACTTTTACATTCGAAAGATTTTTCCAAAGATTCTGAATGGAAAAATGTAGGCATCCATCCAAAAAGCAGCATTGATCATTTTCAAAAACTCCTAAGCCTTACATTTCCTCGTTCTTGTTTGGAAATTTGCATGTGACCTCCCAACTAGAGGTCTGATCAAATTCTGATGTACAAACAGTGGGCAATCTACAAGGATACCTAGCGGCTCTGTAGTTTGACTCGGAAAAATTGAGTCCTCTTACCTACGTAATTTTGTGTTGGTTATTAATACTTTCGAAAGTGTGAATTGGCAATGGACAGAATCGCACCAAACTTATAAGTGCTTCTTGATTAGATATAAATAGAGGCCCTAAATTGAGGAAAATCGCTACAATGATTTTGCGCAATCATGGTGAAGCCGGAACTGTTGGTTTTTGTTGAGATCACTTTCCATCAAATTATTGACATATGTACGTGAATATGTTTCAGAGCGCATAAAAGTTACTCGAATAGGATAGAAATTCCAGTTCCAACCGGTTTTGCAGTCTAACACTGATTCCAGTGCGTTTTGAGAAATGGAGGGCTTGAAAATGTCGATCAAAGAGAAGATTTCAAAACCTTTATTTTTTCAGGTAGGCGCGAAATTCTATAAGTTTCTGGGTCTAGAGCCTTTCCAATCTAATTTCACCTTTGAGTTTCTCGGTGAAATCTCGCATGTGACAGGTTCGAAGCTTGGCCGAGTTTATGCGGGGATACTATGATTTCACCTCATCATCCCGCACTTATGATTGCACCATGTTTCAGCTCTTTACCGCATGTAGTCGATTGCCTTGCTTTCAACGGTTAAAAACTTGTCTGATGTGTTCCTCACTCTCACCTGAAATGTAATAAGCAGATACTAGGTTTTCCCTCAAAAATACCATCACAACTTGGAGGATACATTTAAGAGAATATCCTGGCGTTTAAAAGCAAACGTGTATTAGAACTGAGAAAAACAGGAACTTATTTTGGGGGAAAACTTGGGATAAACAAGATTCATCTTAAGGGTGGTACTACATCCTAAACATACGTCGTCTGACTAAGCATTGTTCTTTGTGGGATCTTTGTGAGAAGAATATCTAGTGATGTCAATTTTGCAAAACATCATGTAACAATATTGGCCATCACAGGTGTGTTATGACGGCAGTAGCAAGAAGAATATTATGTTTGTGATGCCACATTCATAGCACGCCGAACTTATTCAGTCCATCACCTAGGATGAGAAGCGTTCTGCAGTTGAACCGAGACGGTGATATGCTAAGATATTTTCGATGGCATCATGTCTAAAATGACATGTGAAAAGAATCACAAGGCACAGCCTACGATGATGCTCAGGTACTCTTTTTGAATCGAAGAAATGGAAACGTTAGTATAAAGTACTGCATCGGTGAAGAAGAAAGCGCTAGAATACGCCAAATTCGCAACAAATAGTAGTTTCCAGAAGTGATTGATGTATGGGGTTGTAGTAACGTGAATATCGATCGTAGTTGAAAAGGATTCGTCCAAAAATGCCAATGCCAAAATATAATGAAGCAGGCGGACATAGTGGAACTCTTCGATCGCTAGCATTGTTCTAGCGAAGTGCGGCACGGCATTATTTGTAATGGCAGTGACTACGACGGACCCAGGCACCTAGAATGATCTTACCTTCGCCGAAAGCGTCTTGAATTTCCGCTGTAAGATATTCCGCCATACGAGCTCTAGCGAACTGGGCTATTCTCCAATCAACGATATGGACTTCTTGTTAAGCTGGAGGGTATATGGAAATGATATTGACGAGGCAACCTAGCATGAGGGTCAAAATCGCTCCAAAGAGGAAGCTCCGGATTGCATTAGACGAGATCGAGGATTTTGGTAGCCTATCGTTTTGTTTTCTACTCGTTTGACGATTTGCAGCATACGAGATACTATCTCGTTGGCCGGAATAGCCGATTGGAAAAGTTTGGAGAGGTGAACGTATCCTAAGTTGAAGAGCACCCACACTTATATTTATTAGTGAGAATTGGTCCCGTGCTTGTGCAGAAAGTGGTGGCTCGAAGAACCGTATTGCGTATGCGCAGTGCGTTGAAACGAACTTCGACGAGTACCACCGTATACTCGCAGACGTGATCGAGGTCCTGGTTACATCAAAGATTAGGTAAGGACAGCCCCCTCTGGCACTTCTTCGAAAACAGCAAGTACTTTTGTGATGCGATTTACTCGAGTCACAAAATAGATGACTATGCCTGGACTGGCCCTGTGGTGAACATTCGGCGTTACCAGAAGAAAGTGATCCACGTAAAAGAAATATACTGCTGAGGCGTTCATTGCCGTTGCTCTAGGATGCAGGCTCGATCCAGAGTCGTCACGGGATCTCGAAGGGCTATCCGTGTTGGAGTCGCTGAAAAGACTCACACTAAATGTTGCACCAGTATGAGTGATCTGTCAGAGCCTCCCTGATTATAGCGACGTCTGCAGCGTACTGCATCAGGACAATACAGTGCAATTCGCACCTGTCTGAGCCGGCGACAAGAAAGTCTTTGAGATGGACGTTGTCGAAGTAAGGAGGGGCCAGCGTTGAGGTATATGACTTGAACAGGGTCTGCTTTACCCCCGTATTGGTTTTTGGTAGTCCAGAGTGTTATGGATTATTGACGAAAAATCTTCTTGAAATCACATAGCTAGCTACAGAGTTTGAAGTTCCATTGCTGAGACCTTTTGGAAGGTGTTGAGGGACCACGGGCAATTTCCGAACTGCAGTTGAACCCAATGACTAGCCTGTTAACCAGCTGGTGGAATTGGTCGATATTTGCCTGAAGGGAATCCGCTGGTATTGCAGTCGCTTGTTATGGTATTCCACCATGGTAGAATTGGGCGGACTAATAAGGCTCATGGATGGAGATGAGCCACGTCCGTGGCTTCAAGGTTACGCCTCACTTCAGAATATCTATATCCCTCCGACGGTACGAGGTTACGTTCATGAAGTTACAGGTCCGTCGTCGCTGTTATCATCAGACGACCGCAGAGGATCATTGTGATCACTTTTCATGGATTCGACTTCCACACAAAGGATAACGAGCTTGTTTTGACAGCATCGGGAGGTATGATTCGAAAGCTCTTCGTTACCGCCTCTTCCTAGGTGGTGCCCACGTTATGCTGCAAGAACGAATGTCCTCCATCAAGTATGATGACACCACCTCCGGTCAGAAGATTTGCTGGTAACATGTGAAGAGCGTTTGACCCGATGGATCATTCGGAAACTTTCTCCTTGAGGCGTCTCGAGCTCACTTAGAGCAAAAATTTAGAATTCTTCTTTTGTTCGAATGTAGCTCCACCCCTATTCTGTGAGAAAGATTCCTTGGAATACCTTTTTGTGTTCCCAAATTAAGAGGGAGCTCCGTAGATGTCCAATATCAAACCCAAAAATGTTCTGTGAGCGTTTACGACGCATTTCATGGAAAAGCAAAACGGGCGCATGCACCTTGATGCCATGCCTACCAGCTTATCATCCTACCAGCTGCGCCACCGTTACACAGTTACGGATTCGCCTGGCTTGGTGATCCGTTCGGTACAGTGATATGACACGCAGAGGCATTGGTCTCGTAGTTTTGTTCCTGAGATCGTTTAGCAGATCTGGAACAGAAATTTGAGATTAGCGTTCGAAACCACCTACAGCGGTACGCATCTCATCTTGAATGGCCACTGCGACCAAGTATCCTACACGTGTCTCTATTCAAAGTTCAATGAAGATCCTACACCCTTTCTTGTTGAGCTCACTGTACACGAAACACTGCACTGTTTCTGCGGCTGATTAGGAATTCACCTTTTTTAAATTTAACTCGAAAATTCTGCTATTATAAAATGTGTGGTCCACATAATTTAGGAGTATTTTGAGTTTATAAAACACTCATCCGAGTTATGCAAACTCAGGGCCGCAGGACAGTTCAGCAACATTATTGCGGGCGTGGAGTAGGTGCGACCTCCCAATAACTCCGTTTCTGCTTCCGCGAGTCTTCATTCTAGACTTTCGTCAACGTCCTATTCTTCCTTTGCATTAAAATCATGCAGCCTACATATCACACTCTCCTTTGGGTATTTGGCAACTAGTGAAATAATAACTTAATAACATATCATCCCGTTAGAAGCATGCAAGCAATTATTCGTGCGCGTTGCGCTGGCTGCCGGCAGTGTGCCATAGTGTAGTGCTGGCTTTCAGGGCTGCCGCGAATGGAGGCGTTCTGCGCTAACCTAGCTGCTTGTTGCAGAGCGAAGCCGCCCTTTGACGGCTCCAATCCTACACGCGGCAAGAAAAGACGCAAATCCGATGGCTACTTCACGTTCGTCTGAGTAGACGGCCATGTTTTCACCTCCAGCATTCGCAGCAAGCTCCTCGTCTGCTGCCATCGTGTCATATATGGTCGTCTCGCTCTTTTGATAATCTTTCTGTGTCATAACTATTCTTCTAGGACAACATTGTTGATCACTTCAGATTTACTGACAAATTTTCTGATGTTTCTGTGTTAGACTGCGCTCGTCTTCACGAGCTCCTATGTGCCAAGCTTTTCAATGCTTCAAGATATACTTACTCATTTTTACTGAAAGAAACGTCAACGGCACTATCAGTCCTGAGAGAGGCCGTATCAACAACATATTTTCCGGAGACTGCTCTCAAATGTTCTTGAACGTGTTCAAGCAATAGATATGGGACAATTCCCGAACTTGCAGGACGATACTGCCAAAAGCGTTGAGGTGAGCCACTAGTTGAATACAGCATTTGTTTTGAAGCATTTTTGTATGCTTTTTAGTATCACTTTTTTAGCACCAGTGCAACTTCTCGGACTTGACTGTGCTTTTTGACCACACGATTGGTGGAGTTCCAATCAAATTTCACCTACCATAATGACTCTCGCCTTTCCCCACCTTAAGAATTATAAATTTTGACTGAAAATTCATGTGCTTTTTCAAACACGGGTTCATATTATTGTGGAACATTTGGTGGGCAGTACGAATTTATACTTGTACCTTGATGCCTCCTCCTTTCCTTTAGTCCTGCGAGATATTGTTGAGGCTTAATCACTGTACTGAAACTTATTTGAGACTATTGGGCAAACTGCCACCCAGATATTTTTCTTTCAATGTCTTCTAAGATCATGAGTCCTTCGTTGTATGCAAAAAACGTGCAGTTAATAGTCGTATGATGGTTGTGGAAGCTTTTGACAATATGGCCTATACGTGTTACGTGGCCTAGCATATTTCCTCATCGTCGCAATCACTATTTATATTAATTGATGCTTCGAGTAACTCGGCATGCGTTAACGACTCCTTGATATGTTGCATTTGACCTTCTGTGATCTTGTTTTTGAAAAATGTTTCTTTTCTGTGTGATCGTTACAAATCGATGGGCACTTAGTAACGCTGCTTTCAATTATCAGCGATAAAGTGGTACTGATATATATATATATATATGCCGTTTACGGTAGCGTAGGCGTAAGGAAGAGTAGGGATTCAGCGCCGCCATAGCGCGGTGGTATTGCTCTCAATTTTCAGATTCGCGCCTAATCATGGGAGAAGTTTTTGCATAGTGTGGTCCCCCGGTGAGAGCTCTCATCACATTTTCTAACCTTTTTTCATAGTACGACTCTCAGTCAAGGTTTTATCCATATCACTGAGGACAGAATAATGTCGTAAGTAAATTGTTGTAATTGTTTTCAGCATCGAAGAAATCAGAAATTGTCTCCGAACAAGCGCTAGTAGTGTGAACACTGATGAACGTCCAAAAAGTGTGGTATGTGGAGTAAACATTCTGTTTCCAAATGGCGCATCTTAGACAGGATACCTCTATACAACCCTGAACGTATTAGTCGGTCGTCTCTAGACCAAGTTAATATAGTGCGACCAGTGACTAGGGTGGTCACTGGATTAAGGACTACGCTGAAAACTCTACTGCGACAGGACACGGCTGGTTTTAGAAACTTTATCTAAAAACGCTAACACAAAAAAAACAACAAACAATCAAACACCATCGACGTGCTTTGCTGTGTGGGTGGCGGCTCTGAAGCCGTGGATGGTGGCGGCTCTAGAGTCGTGGATTGTGGCAGCTCTGAAGTCGTGGATGATGACGGCTCTGGAGTCGTGGATGGTGGCGGCTGAACTGTGGTGGTGGCGGAGCAGTCCGGAAGATGCTCGGCGGACGAGTCTTGTGAGGCTATTTCCCCCACCTTATATAGCGGGTGGGTCATGCCTCGAGCGGGTAGGCCACAGACCTCAATTAGTTACCGTACCCGCATGGGGTTGCTTCCCGCCCGTGGGTAGATCAGCATGACCCTCGCGCTTGGGGGGGGGGGGGGGGGTGACCCATCTCTAAACGGTGTTTTTCTCTTGGCCTTCCTATTCCACAATGTCAGGAGTGGCTAATACGCCTGGTTTTCTCATCAACATATCCTGACTTATAGGATGAGTTGTTCAAAAACCAGAAGACACGGTACCTCTCCAGATGTATAGCCTGTCTAGGTCATACTGAAGCATCTTCTACGCGTTAAACTCACAACCATCTATGAAATAATAACTCGATCGTGTCTTTGAAGGCGACATTGTGGGGAAAAACAGTACTAAAGGTGCTCAGATGGTGCGTTTCAGTTTCCGATACGCTAATCATTGTAAGTCGACAAGTTGCAAGGCACAATATTCTTGCTAAAGCTACGCCAGCGGTTCATAATGTAGTTGTTTTGTTATTTGATTAAGGAGAGGTCATGAAACGGATCAGGTTTTGCGACGTTCAACATGATCGGAAATTACTTCTCCCACTTTCTTTCGGATTGACGAGAAGCTTGAATGATAGCTGAAATATAGGACTCATCCACATCGATGTCAACAAATGTATTCGAGACTTTCACCGGAAAGTAAAGATTCTATGTGGCAGCCTCTGTGATCATTGCGGGTCTCTGCCTGAAGAGCGATAGCGCTCCATAGTACACCTATGGAACGATAATTTGAATTCTCCACCCCTGGTTTTGGTTGGAATGAGAACATACAACGCTCACTTCAGTCTAGGTAAATTACATATTTAATCGACATTGCAACCAAGCAATCTTCGATCACTCGCAACTTGTTCAAGAAAATTATCCAGCATAGGTGGTTGGTTTGCTCAACTCTCAACGTTGTTTACATGCAGGCTTAATTATGTTGACGTCCAGCGGAATCGGCCTCATCAGAGCTTGCGAGGATCATAACAGTTTGTGTCAATTCGACCGAACATCTTCAGAGGAATATTAAAATTCGAGACCACCCAAGACACAAATGTAGTTTGAAGAAGAGCAACTCACTGTATTGTCGTAGATTTTTTGAAGCCATCAAGCAGCCGATCAGCATTAGCTGGAGCTGATCTATGATCAGAATTGCCGTGCAAAAGCTAGCCTTTTGGAATTCCATAGCTCTACGTGATTTTGTAGCATTCTTCCCTCAATTTCACTTTTACTTTGGTAGCTCGTATCCAAAATGCCTCAAGAATTTTATGCACAATTGCGATACTGTGCTATGGCCTTCATAATGATGTTTAAATTGCCTTTGTTACGGTTTCGAATTCAGAGGCTCTCCAGGGCAGTAGAATTTTTTGATCAATTCATTGCCCTTTCGCCAATATACAGTGCCTACTCTAAATGATCAAAAAACCAAAAATGCTAGTAAAAGTTACATGGCATGTTTTTTATAGAGTGTATACGTTTTCTTGTATTAACAGATGATACAAGGATGCGGTATCATCTTTTGGATAAGGATGTTAAAAAAGTACGCGCAGTGAATACCAAACTCTTTGGGCGTATTCAAGAATTTTAAACGATAGTCAGTTGTCTCGAAACCCCAACTTCGTATGAGCTCAACAACCTTCCCAATTAGCTCAGGACTGGACTTTTCTTATTCGAAGGAATTCACTGAGACCTTACATTGTTGGACCTTATGATCGCAAGCCATTCAGTGGAATGGAAATTATTTTACAAAATCCTATTCAAATCTACGTCTTCAACACCGATTTCCTATACTAGTCTCGACAACATTTCAACTGGACTTGCCTTGGTATGGGCCGACAGTCCAACATTCTTGGAAATTCGTACTTCTAATTGAATGGGTACAGCTATTATAATATATACAACTGCTCCCAATAAAACAAGTACTTCTTTAGAATAAGCATTCGTACCTCGCAATGGATGGCCCTAGTAATGGTCTTTGATTTTGGATTCTTATCCATGACACAACTTGCGTTATCATAACGACTGTCCTTCGTCATGAAACTAACAAGTGAAGAATACTAGGTCGCAGTGGCCATTCAAGATGAGATATATATCCCCGTAGGTGGTTTCGAACGCTGATTCCAAATCTGTGTTCCAAATCTGCTAAACGATTTTGGGAGCAATACTTCGGGGCCCATTTCCTCTCTGTGTTATACCACGGCCCTGGACGGATCACCACGCTGAGCAAATATCATGCCTGTGCAACGGTAGCCGAGTAGGTAGTGTGGTGGACTGGTAGGCATGGCATCAAAGATCGAGATCTTGATGCATGCGCTCGTTTTACTTTTCAATAAAATGTGTCCTAAACGCTTGCAAAAGGTTTTTGGGCCCAATATCGATTACCTACGGAGCTATCTCACGTTTCGGGAACACTGGAAAGATATTACAGAGGAAGTTTTGTTGCCCATCACCGGCCCAATAAGGCTGTAGCTCATTCAAACGGAAGAGCAATTCTGAACAATCGCTCAAGATGGGCTTGAGAGGCTTTAAGGAGAATGATTCCAAATTATTCATCGGATCAAACGCTGTTCAGCATGTTACTAGCGAGATATTCTGGCCGAAATTGGTGCCATCGCATTTGATGGAGGACTTTCGTTCTTGCAGCGTAACTTGGGCGCCATCTAGGAAGAGGGCGCAATAAATAGCTATCAACCCTTACTACTCGATGCTATAAAAACAATCCCGTTATCTACTGCGAGGTAGTCGTGTCCGTGAAAGGCGATCACAATGATCCTCTGAGGTCGCCTGGTGATGGCAGCGAAGATGGGTCCGTAACTCCACGAAAGAAACCTCGTACATTTGTGGAAAAAAGAGGTTCGGAAGTGAAACCTAGCCATCAACTTTGTGAACCATCCCATGAGTTCCAATTTTGTGGCGGTGGTAGAAGAGCCCCTAGCCTTCCAAAGTTTGAGTGTCGAGAAAGCCGCCCTTCCTCGTACATGAAAAATACGTTTCGTATCATCACGACAGAGTGCCGTTTGCGGAAATGAAGGGCAAATGTGAGAGGCCATGAGCTTTCAAATTAGCCTAACTCGATAGTATGATGTCCTATCTGGTCGTCACTATCAGGCGCAATCAAGTGGACCGATCTGTTTACTCATGGAGATTAGCGGATAAATTGGGAAAATTTATCCTGAAATTTATGTAGGGATCTCATTGCACGACAGTCAT